TTTGAGTCGCAATAGCTTCCATTATCAGTTTTGGTTTCCCAACCATATTTACTTGGGATTTGTGTAGGCACTGTGTTGTCTATGTTATTACTGTGTTAAGAGTTGTATGGGATGAACCCGATTTGTTAGTCAACGTATGGCTTGTAAATGATATGTTTAAATGTCATACACGAACTATGTGTCAAGGGACAACTTATACGTATTTGAATTTAAGTTATATTATGAAAATGGTTATATGAATGTATGATTTTGACTTGAATTGGAAAATGTTTTTGAGGCTTGCTTGAGTTTTGTGGGCTTCACCTGTCAAGCTCTTGCACCTATCACTGCTCCCTAGTTTGAGTCATGAAATTAATTAATTTAATTAGTTTAAAATAATTAATCAATTAATATTAATCACACATTTATATAACCATTTATCATTTTTGATTAATTCATATACTTTTTATTTAAAAATTTATATATAATTTTTAATTATACATTTAATTTTTTTTATTTTATTCAACAAAATAAAGTTTTTTTTTTGCACAGAACTCCACCTGCCTTTTTTTGCTTCTTCTTCTTCATTTTCTTTCTTTTTTTCTCTTTCTCCTTCCTCTTTGCACCCATCATCAGATTGAATGACAAGTAAGAGTGTTTCATCTTTTTTTCTCTTGTTCCTCCTTTCATTGAGTCATTAACTTGCCTAGCTTTCTTTTCCCTTTAACAAAAGCTCACTTCTCATCACTAATAAAGTAGTTGAGGTAATATTTTAAACTTTTTGTCCTTTTTTTTTCTTTGAACATTGATTTTTGCATAGCACAAAAAGAATGCTACTCTGGTTTAGGATCATTAATCCTTTAAAAGCCAAAAAATTTGGTTCAAAAACCATGAGATTCCCTACAAAAAGAAGAAAAAGAAGAAGGATGGACAATTTGGGAAAAAAAATTTGTAACTTTTCCTTTGCAATGGGAAAGTTAACTTTCCCTTTGTGAGGGAAGGAAATGACATTCTGTTATCTCATTGTAAGCACATTGTGTTCCCTTATTACAAACCAAATGTTACAAAGTCATTATAGCCATTTAAATTACAAGGAATATCTTTCACTTACACTACACCAAACACCCCCTAAAAAGAGACCCATCGATTCAATAATAAGTCAATTAATCAATGAATGAGATATTAAAATCAATTCAATAAATTATTACATCATTAGATTGAATAAAAATGTTGAGACAATTAATATTTTCTTATTATACTTAGATATATCTAAATATGTGATTTGACACTTATATTATATCTAGTAAAAAATGAGCGAAACAAGGTGAGTAGAAAAAAAAGGAAAAAGTTGTTTTGGCTTTTTTGGTAATAAAGTGGCAATTTGTCTAATCATGTTATCATGAAAAAGTGACAGATACGAACATGATATGATTAAATAATTGTATTAATAGTCCTAAACAATCAACTAGCACGTAAGATTTATTTATTGAATAATTAATGAATAAAACGACATTACATATTATTGTTGGGATATGCCCTTGAGCCAATTGGATTAGTCAAAGAATATATATTATAATTTAATGCATACTTAATCGCATAACTATATGTAATAAAGGTTTTCTTTCATGTTAATACAACAATAAAGAGTTATTAAGTACTAATTGAATAAAGCTCATGGAACATAAAAGCCTTATAAGAGAATTGTAAAATTGTTACAATTAAGAAATCAATATGCATCAAAACCATATTCCTAAAATTATTCATGGTCATTGTATTGTCAAAACAAAGTATTGACAATACTCAAAGACTGGTATATGTTAAGCCTCCTTACTTGGAAAGTAAGCAATCAATCTTATAGATTAAAGTATATGAGATACTTAAGGATGGTATGTGAATGTTTGTTAGAGAACAAGTTCACTGAACATGACTCACTATGAGAACTCCATTTAGTGTTTTACTTAAGTGTCTATGGAATATATTCTCATGTGATAATCGTGCAACCAGTTCTCAGACTTGAGATACCAAGTCATCTTGTATAAGAAATGACATATTTTGATTTCACCCTTATGGGTCTAGAAGTGACCAAATGCCTTAACAAGGTGCTTTTTGATATGATATAAAGCATACAGGAGAGGATGAGTGGTTAAAAGAAGATTCATCACCCCAAGTGATATGAAGGAATGTATCTTACTTGTTCTCAATTTTAGATTAATTTGTATAAAGTCTTTGGCCAATGCATGATCAAGTTGACGAAAATTAGTTTCTTAAATTCATAGAGTTAGTCATGAATTATGAGAACTAATATGAAATGTTGTAAGTAGACTCTGAGCCATGTTTTATGGCATATCTAGGATATTTGATTAAAGAATCGTATTGCATTGAGAAATTTATCATTGGAGGGCTTTGTCAAATTCTTTAATTGACCCTCTAACATTTAAATAGTCATCATGTGTTGCTAGATACCGCTTTTAATCTATAAATATAAATTAATTATCAAATTGATATTTTATTATGATTTATATTTATTGTCAATATGTTAGAAGCCTAATGGGTCACACACATTAAGTGACATAATTGAGATTAAATAAAGATAATCAATTAAGTTGGACTTAATTGAAATAAAGAAAAATAAAGTTAAAAAATTAATTAAGTTCACAAAGACTTAATTGAATAAAAATACAAATGTTGTATCCAGGATTACAACTTAATTTAGTTATATAAATATATTATGTTAGTTAACTAAAACTTTAAGCTTTCACCCACTTTTTAAACTATTTCATAAAATAAGAAAAGAAAATTAGTGGTTTTTGTATGATAGAAATAAGATTCTGCAAAAACTTTTGATCTTTTTATTTTAAAAACAAAACTTGCTAGCACAAGTAAAGTTCTACTTTTGAGAAAGCTGTATTCGATCATTGTGTGGATTACTATTAAATGCGAAATACTTGAGTGACTAAAGATTTGATAAATCCTAAAAGTGAAGAAGCAAAGATTTTGACTATAGAATTTTAGCTTGTCTTATTCTCTTTTTAGGTTATTTACTTCATTACAAACATTTTTTGATTTAATTGGCTCTTACTTATGATATCTAAAATAAAGAACATAATATTTGAATCTATGAGTATTTATATTTAATTTGAAAATTGAATAAAAAACCCAAACATTGATCTTGAGGATTTTGACTATTTCTCTTATTAAATCTATTTTTATTTTTTCACTGCGTTATATATTTTTTTCTTGATTATGTTCATGTTTGAATATGAGGCTGAATCCCAGCAATTATATATGTAATTAACTTGTTCTAATATAATTTCTCAAATTATTTATTAAAAAGAATATATCAACATTAGACATAGTAAAGTTTCTTTCGATCAGATTCTGTTGATATGATTATGGTATAAACGTAATTATTTAAGATTCAATAATAAATGCATATATCTACTATTTAAAAATTATTAACCTTATGTGGTAGTATAAAAATAGTAAAATTTTTTTTTAAAAAAAGAAATAATAGATACCCGAGTTCCCAATTAATTAAATTCTAAATATGTGTATCACACATTTTTTTCTCTTCCCACATTTGTTTGTCACCTACCAACATTTAAATTTATAGGAGGATGAAAAGGAGGCAAAAGGAAAATATAAAAGGAAAATTTTAAGTGTGATTTATTTTGCATCCGTAGAAAATTTAAAAGTTGAAAGAGAACAAAAAGGCAAACACTCAATTTAAAAAAAATAATAAAAACCCTTTGGTTAGGGTTTGAATTTGTTGTCAACTTTTTCAATTTTATTATCTGCATTTTATACTTGTTAATGAAAATTTGGTAAATAGTTGAAAAATAATAATAATTAATTTTAAATGAACAAAATTGTTATTATGCAGTTTGATTATAATATAATTGCTTGTATAAATATAACAATCATAAATTTTATTTGATAAAGCCATATATTTTAATGTTTTACATTCAAATAGACCTTTTTCATACAAAAGATTAAATTTACCTCTTGATTAACTAATATGAAATATAGTAATACGAAGCATATATATAATCTTTTGCACTTGGTTGATGTTTCTTTTTTTTTTTTTAAATTTTATCTCATATACTAAATACGAAAAGTGCAAAATACATATTCTTTCTTCTCTCTATTTTTAGCTTCCCCACACCGTTTTTAATTTTTTAATAAATTTATTTATTTTAATCATTGTTCTTAAAAAAAACTCTTAAATTAAAATAAAATTTTAATTCATTTATTGCATTCAATCAAACTTTTATAATTTTATTTTAAATCAAATAAACTCTTATAATTAATAATTGACTAAATGTTATTTCTCAATACATAACTTTTCATTTTATAATAAATGATGTTGATTTGAAATATTGACATGTTGTATTAAATGATGATATAAAACAATAAAATAATCATGTGATATTTTTTACTTTTATATAAGAGAAATTATAAATAACGTTTTGATTATCAATAATTAATATGAGTTTATTTGAGCTAAAAAAATATAAAAATTTGATTCAACCTAATAAAAAAATTTATTTAAATTCTTTTGTAAATACTGTAAAATCTTTTTGAAACATTATGTTTTTATGAAATTCCCACGGCACCAAACGAAATATTTATACTTCCATCTTCACTCCAATTTGCTTGTTTTTATGAAAAAGGACACGCCAAAAGGCACGTGAAAATTGTTGAAAAGCGCCGGTCAAAACACACAGCATGGAAAAAGGCATTAAAAAAACCTACTGAAAAGTCAGAAGACACGTGTCTTTCTGATAATTCCCCCACGTCACATACGACCGCTCTGAAATTCACTCTCTTTTCGTACTTTATGCTTCTCCTGCTAAGAAGAACGCCAAAACAAGCAAAAGCGAAACGACATAAAAAGACAAAGCAGTGGACCCTCACTTCCATAGAATGCCATGTCATCACCCATACATGCAAAGGCACCGTTTCGCTCACAATAAAATGCTCAGTCTCGTCTGTCTCTTTTCTTCCTCTCCCATCTCTGTGCTCCCAAGACCCAAAAAAATCCAAAATCTAAAAAAATAAAATAAAAGCCATTAATAATATTAAGTTTCCATTTATAGATTACTTGAGAGAACCCAAACAAAAAAAACCATAGTATTTATATTTATTTATTAACTTTGATTCTGCTGCCTTTCTGTTTCCAAAATTTAAAGAAAATTTTGGAATTTTCCTTTGTTGAGAGAGAGAGACAAAGATGGCGACGACGACAACAGCGATGGCCGCCGAAACGGTACAGACTGGGAGTGTGGCGGCGGGAAGTGGTTTTATGAATGTGTCGCTTTACGTAGGGGATCTAGAGCAGAACGTGGTTGAAGGGCAATTGTATGATCTGTTTAGCCAAGTCGGAACGGTGGTTTCCCTCAAGGTTTGTCGTGATCAGAATAAGCGATCTTCTCTTGGTTACGCTTATGTCAATTACAGCAATCACCAAGAAGGTAAAGTGATTTAAACAGATAGATAATCTTTTACTATTTTCTGTCTCTTTGGTTTTTTGTTTTCTGGATGATCGGGTGATTATCATTTGTTTTATTTGATTTATTATGTGTTTAATGGATAGTGGATAGTCGCACGTACTGTTGTGGTTAATTTTAATGTGTTTGGTTTTTGTTGTTCTTATTGTTATTTTTAGGAGTTGATCAGTTGCCCTGTGGTTTTGAATTTTGTGGATAGAATTAGACTCTGAATGCTGATATTGGTTTTACTACTTAATGTGATTGCTGATAATTCATGAATGGTAGTAGGAAATCCTAATTTTCCCAAAAAAAGAAAAAAGAAAAGAGAGTGGGAAATTGTACTTTTCCTGGAAAAAATAAATAATAGACGAACCTTTTTTTTTTTTTTTGCTAATGAGTTGAAGATCAGTGCTTGTAATTGTTGTGCTTGTCTCTAAGATTCATATAGATGGATGCCTTGAAGTGGAGAACAAAATCATTTTTTTTCTTTGAAGTTGTAGCTACTTCTGCCTTAGCCATTGCTTTCTGAGTTTTGAACTTTATAATTGGGAAGTATCAAACCTCTTATTCAATTTAGTCTTGACTGCATTCACTGTGTTTTAAACTACAGCTGCCCATGCTAAGGAGATTTTCAACTTCACCCTTATCAATGGGAAACCTATCAGGATTATGTTTTCTCAACGCGATCCTAGCATTCGGAAGACTGGATATGCCAATGTTTTTATCAAGAACCTGGACCCAGCTATTGATAACAAGGCATTGTTCGACACTTTTGCTGCCTTTGGGACTGTACTTTCTAGCAAGGTGGCTACTGATAACAATGGGCAATCAAAAGGGTTTGGATATGTGCAGTTTGAAACTGAGGAAGCTGCACAGAATGCAATCAAAAGGTTAAATGGTATGCTGATAAATGATAAACAAGTTTATGTTGGACAACATGTTCGACGCCAAGAACGTGTGCCACCCAATGCGTCACCAAAGTTCAATAATGTTTATGTTAAAAATTTGTCTGAAACAATAACTGATGAGGACCTTAAGAAAGCTTTTGGAGCTTGTGGTACCATCACCAGTGCAGTTGTCATGAAGGACCAGAATGGGAAGTCTAGATGTTTCGGTTTTGTAAACTTTCAGAGCCCAGATGCAGCTGCTGCCGCTGTTGAGAAGTTTAATGGAACCAAAAATGATGACAAGATGTGGTATGTGGGAAGGGCTCAGAGGAAAGCAGAACGGGAGGCAGAGTTGAAAGCCAAATTTGAGCAGGAGAGAATCAGTAGATATGAAAAACTACAAGCTGCAAATTTATATCTGAAAAATCTTGATGATAGCATTGACATTGAGAAACTGAAGGAAATATTTTCTGAGTTTGGAACTATTACCTCATGCAAGGTAGGGCTTTGTAGTTGGGTAGTCTTTTACTTCCTTCCCAATGTTTTCATCAAATTTTAGTTTCTTTTCTCTTTCTTTTTCTTTAATGTTGAGTATAATAATTGCTGGAATTTTTTTCTCAAACTATTGTTCAAGATTATGCTTAATCCACAAGGAGTGAGCAAGGGCACTGGATTTGTTGCCTTTTGTACACCTGAAGAAGCTTCAAAAGCAGTAAGTTTTGTAATTGTTTTATCCATAACATATATGCAGATCTGTTGGAGTTATTTTAAGTCTCCTTCATTCCTTTTTCCTTTCTCCAGTTGATTGGGATGAATGGGAAGATGATTGGAAAGAAGCCTTTGTATGTTGCTGTGGCACAACGCAAAGAAGAAAGGAAAGCTCGATTACAGGTGATTTATTCCATGTTTTTTTCTATTGCACAGGAACTTTTGAGACATATTTTCTTTGTTTTAGTTGTCCAACTTATTTGTGGACAAAGGTACTTAAATATATTAGTAAAGCAATGTTCAAGTCAATAGCAATTATCTTCTCTTGATGATATGCTTACCGCAGAAACATTTTCTCTTATTTTCCCTTATGTTAGCAATTAGGTTATGGGCTTTATAAAACAGTAAAATCTGTAAGGCCACAACACAAGAAAGTGTGCTACCTTTGAGACTTGCTAATTCCAAATGTATATGGAGTGAATAGATGGTCGAGCTTTATGATCTAGGTGTAGCGTCTTGAACAGGGTTTTCGGTTAAATCTATATTATAACATTGTTTCTATAGCGTGTTTCTGGATTAGCATCTTCCAAAGTTTGCATGCTATGCCTGAAATCAAGTGCTTCTCTCCCCTGCTCTTTTATGTTTCCCCTTCTCCTTTGGCTTGTCAGAATAGGGATGAGTTAGGTTGACGTTTAAATTCCCGTTATTTGCAGTGTAATTACCTTCAACATTAATCTCAATATTTTCCCTGCCTAAACAATTTTTGTTTCCAGGCATATTTTGCTCAACTTCATACACATGGTGCAATGTCGCCTTTGGCTTCGGGGATTCCGGGATTTCATCCCGCTGCACATAGGCTTGGTCCTCAGCAACTATATTATGGTCAAGGTGGTCCGGGTCTAATAAACCCCCAGTCTGCAAGATATGGTTTCCAACAGCAGCTCTTACCAGGAATACGTCCTAGTGTCACCCAAAATTACATTATGCCATACAACCTTCAAAGACAAGGACCATCAGGTCAGAGGATGGGTGTTCGTCGAGGCGGAAACTCTCAACAGATGCAGCAGCAACAGGTAGCACTTTTTTCCCATTCTAGTCCTTTTACAAGGCACATGGTATAATTACGATATTAAATAACTTATTGTTACCTATCATGTACATTTTATGTTGAATAATCCTTGAATTGTCAAGCCTTGCATTTCAAAAGAGTTTACATGAACTTTTAAATGTACTGATTTCAAAGTATTATAAACAAACTGATGTACTGTATAATGGAGTTTGTTTTGAAACTAAACTAACTTTTACTTTGTTTGTTAGTTGATTCCTTGATATTGTTTCCAATAATGCTTTGCTTCACCATTCTCTAGCTATTGTGCTTATGTAAAACGTATGGGAACTAAAATACTATTTGTGGGAAATTAACTTGCTGTTTGAAATAACATAATATATTTGTTATATAAACTGTCAACCTTTGATTCCTATATTTATACCATTTTCAGATGCTGCACCGTAATAACAATCAAGGATTTAGATACATGGGTAATGCAAGAGACATTGTGGACCCATCTACAGTTACCCAAAGCATTGTAGGTCCAGTCATGGAATTGCCATTTGAGGTTTCAAGGATGCCCGTAAACCCTATTGATGTTCAACAACCTAACCGGGTGCCTATATCAACACTCATATCTGATTTAGCTTCTGCTTCCCCAAAAAAACGTGATGAGGCATGTAGTATCCCTCCTATTATGATGATTGTGCGATCAGACAATCTTGAATTGAGTGATCTTGCAGTTTAATCGTCTGTTACAGTTTGCTAATATGTAATTCTTTTTCTTCATTTGTCATTTGTCTTACTTTAAATATATGTAAAATTGTAGATGTTGGGAGAACAACTTTATCCCCTGGTTCAGCGTTTTGAACCTGAACATGCGGGCAAGGTGACTGGGATGTTGCTGGAGATGGACCAAACCGAGGTTCTCCATCTGCTCGAGTCTCCAGATGCTTTGAAGGAGAAGGTGGCTAAGGCAATGGCTGTCCTTCAGGATTCTGCAGCAGGAGAGTCTGGTGTCAGGAAGGAGTCGGGGGTCATTGGAACTGACTGAATGAATGTCTCAGTACGGAGTTGGGGTCATTGAACTGACTACATGAAGTTCACCTATTTCTAATTGGTAAATATATTACTTTGTAGGTGCAATTGTCAGCCGTTTTGTAGAGGGCCCAATGAGTTTGCCTTGACAGGGTTTTCTTAGAAACTAATTTTTTCAAGGAACTGATTTCTTTGGTTGGTAAACTTTCTAGGCTTTTGAGATGTTTTAAGACTTTGAATTTTTTCTACTCTTTGTTGTAGACCATTATCTTCATTTTTTGACTGGTTTCAGTACTATTTGATTTGGGGTTTTTTCCTAACTTATTGTTTTTCCTTTGAGGTGGTGGCATATACTTATATTTGGCTATATACTGCAGCATTTCCCCCCTACTTATGGCATATGCTGTATTGTAGGAAAGCCCAACATCCATCATCCATGGCTCTAGCAGGTGGCAGAAGCTAGATTCTGTTTCCATCTGATTAATTTACAGATTCTTGCTATCAGTCATGTAGTAATATGTTATAGGCTCTGTTCGATTTAAGTTTAGGGTTCTATTTTGCTAGTTGCTTCCTGCAACCAAAAATTTTCGCTAGTAGCAGAAAATCAATTATCTGTTTTGATCATTTTCTGGATGGAAAGAGAAAAAAGAACGTTATTTTGGGTTGACTGCTTATTTTTTGTTGATCAAATGTTGGAAATTATCAGAACTAACTCTTTTTAACTAAAGAACTTGTAATGAAATTATGTGCCATGTGAGTCAAAATCAGCAGTTCAAATCAAATAGAGAAGCAAATTTCTGCTTGCTGTTAGTAGTCTTGGGAGTGCTATGTTTGACCAAATGGATAGACGACAAGAAAATGGGACCATTACTTTTGTGGAATGGGGAAGGAGAGTGGTGGTAGTGTTGCCACACAAAAACGCCAATGGTATAATTGGAGTGTGAAGTAGTTTATATATACAAAAGAAATTAACGTATCGAGAGGGTATGTTCCTACGTTTGAAATACAAGCCGGCGCAATGTCCGAAGCATGAGAATCTTGAACACTGTCCCATCTTCTTAGACTATTTATCTTCCCTCATATTTATCTTCCAAAGCAACAACAACCCCCTAATCAAACCCTAGCAAAACACAAAAGGGGTAAACACCGAAAAACCTATAGTCATCTCCATGTCTCTAGACTCTCACATGGAGAAGGTTCTTTGGACCCAGGACCAGATTCAGGACCGAGTGGCCCAGATCGCCTCTCAAATAACCCACGATTTCAGGGCAGCTCCCCACCCTCCCATCATTGTGGGAGTCGCCACCGGCGCTTTCTTGTTCTTAGCCGATCTTGTCAGGCGCATCCATCTCCCCATCTCGGTTGACTTGGTTCGAGCTCAATCTTATGGCTTCGCTACTCTCTCTAATGGAGCTCCCACCATTTCCCTTGACTTGAAGCTTGACGTTAAGGGTAAACACGTCGTTTTGGTAATCCCAGTTACCCATTTTCTTTCTGTTTTCTTTTTCCAAGTACCTATAACTTTTGTTTTTCTTTTTCTTTTTGCTTTTTTTTTTTTTAAAAATTCAGTGATAGAGTGCGTGTTATGGTGTTAGGTTGAGGATATTGTAGATACGGGATGCACTTTATCCTGTCTCATTGGACACTTGGAATCAAAAGGAGCATCCTCTGTATCTGTCTGCACTTTTCTTGATAAACCAGCAAGAAGGAAGGTTGATATTGAGCTAGTTGGGGATGGCAAGTTCTACAAGGGATTTGAGGTAAGATGTAGCCTATTTTACCTGTGTGCATACATAGATGAATATGTGTTAGTTTTGCATCTTATTACTTGCTTTAAAAAAATATACCTTTTATTTTTCTGAATCTATGATCATTTAAGGAAAAAAATTGTTGCTCTTAATTTATTTTTTACGACATTAACCCTAGACTTTTGATCCTAGTTGAACATGAATTCTATAGTTTTTAAATTGAATACTCCGTCTTAAAAGAATATTTTGGTTGGATACGGTTTTCCGCTAATGATGTGCAAATATTTTTAAAATAATCTTATCTTTGGTTAATTTTAAAAATTATCATTGCAGAAATTATAATTTTTTATTTTAAATTTTTTTCTCCAAAGAAGCACCCCTGCACCCCAAGGGAGTCAGGGAGATCTGACCATGGCTGGCCGGCTTGAGAGAAAGGAAAAAGGTGAAAAAAAGAACAAGGGTATATTTCACATTTAGACATTAATGTTGTTTACATGTTTGGGGCGGAATGTTTAATTTGAAAGCTGATGAACTCGCAAGTAATTATGATCAAAAGTTGAAGTTTACTATAGAGAGAAACCTGAATTCAGACTAAATCCTTTGGAGCTTCTGATAGATATGTTGCAGTTATTACTGTCATGCTTTCGAATTTTACAGAACATATTAGCTTGTCTTTACTCAAAATTAACATCATAATTTGTTGAATTTCAATAATGGGTACAATATTAGTCATAGTTCATGGAAATGAAGCGTTTGATTGATCACATTGCTAATGTTTCGCACCTGGTTGTTTTCTTAAATGTGAGCTGCATGGTTTTTAAATACTTTGTGCATTTTGACTGTTTTAATTATATTTTCAGTTACCATTTTCTGCCCAGTTAGTCAGTGACAGTACACATCATGATGTTTTTCTTTCTATGTTATGTTTTTGGCAGTGTCCAGATTATTTCGTTGTTGGTTATGGAATGGACTTTGCGGAACTATATAGGAACTTGCCTTATGTTGGTGTCTTGAAGCCTGAACACTACAAGTGATTTGATTTATCTCTGGCATTTTGAGTAGATGTAGATCAGTTCAGGTCATTTAGGATTCAAGAAGCAGCCCCATGATAATGTTGAATTTAAAGAGTCTAAACCATTGGTATTAGCCTGGAGTATAAGATTTGGCATTCCTTATTTTAGAAGCCAAAGTGATTGTAACCAAAGAAAGGAAAATGCCAAAGTGATTTATAGGAAGAACAAAAAATGTATCCTGCACATTCGCTTATATAGGTTTTTGCCAATTTTATTTGCTGAGTTCTATACATAATATCATACACCTGGTTGGATTGGAAAATTTGCACACTTATTGGGATGATGCATAGTGTCTTTAATTTGCAAAGTGAATTCCCATTAATGGATCAGTCAAGAAAAAGCAAAAAAAAGGTTTCTTCTCCCTGTAATGCAGGGATAAATGGATCAGTCAAGAAAAACAGAAGAATGCTTTTGCTTTGTCTTTACTTTTTCATATTAGATGAGTTTATACTGTAAAGAAAGGTTGAGTCAGTTTTGGTGCCCAGTGAAGTGTCTTGGCAAGGTGACAGGTCTATTTAGTTCCCCATAAAATAAGGGCTCTTAGCCATCCACTTCCTAGATGACATCTATTCTTCTGTTTGGTTTGTCTTTGTAGTATAAGAATGGCTATTTCTTAACAGCACATCTGGTTCATGGAATGGAAAAAAGAACAATAGAATAGTTATCTTTTAAGAATAAAATAAAATAATTATTATATAGTTTAATTCTTTTTTGAAAGTTATGCTTTGGAATCATTCTGTCTTCACTTTCAAGCATGAAGTTTGGTATGTTAGGAACCGATGCCTTTAACTTTCTGCAAGACATTCAAAGTTGAGCAAATGCTTTAGTGCCTAATTGGATGGAATGTAGTCTGTGGAATTTATTTTTAGGAATGGTCTGGTTTTAGTCACATGGAATCTATGATAAACAAATTTTAGGAGGCAAACATCCCATCTCCTGAAAGACGTTTAGCTCACGTATTTAGAGTTTTTCATTATGTTCATATCCAGAAGGACTAAACTTGAACTTAGTTAAAAGTGTTTCTCATAAAGTTGAGCATCTCAAAATGGATTACCAAATTTGTCACAATTCATCTCTGGCTGCTAAACTAACCTTAACCCCAGGCCCCGCCTTTTTTTTCCCTCAAGCACCAAATAAAGTAAGATAACCACATGAGATCAATCATCTCTCTTTTGGTTGTGACCTCTCATTCTCTTCCATTTTCTTTCCTTTGTATTTGGTCACAGCTACAATATCAACAAATTCAACATAATTTTTCCTCTAAACCGAAATTTTTTTTATACTTATATTGATTACATAAAAATATCAAATGTAAGAAGTATATTTCATTGACATATATATTTGTAAACAGTTGGATTTAAATTTGTATTTTTAATAATTATCAAGTTTTCAAGTATTTTTACATCCAGGAGACTTCAAAACCTCATTCACACATCAACTAAGCTTATCAGCATCTCCAATGCTTGAGTGAAAGACATTAGAGCAGCCCTTGGTTCCCTTGAAACCTGAAACTACAAACCCATTCTTGAGAGGATTTAAGTTACCCAAATGGAAGCTTGATGTTGGAAATCAAAGTTAGGGTAAGAGACTCTCCATTTAAGTTTCAAATTTTAAGTTCAAAGGGTTTGTAGTGTTTAAATTGTTATAGCAGATTTGAGACCTGATTTGAGAAAGTTTTGAAGGCAAGCTTTTGAATGAACTAAACCATTATCAGGGTAAGGCAAATTGAATTTCAATTCTTGGTTGATCACACTAGTTAATTATGGGTTGTGTAGAAAAGCTTTGATAGCTTGAACTTATAAATGTCGTGTGCACGTGTTGTTACAAAGTTGTGAAAAAATGAAAAGGATTTGTGTAAAAGCTGCCAACCCGAGACCTAACACAAACAATCATTGAGGTGCTAAGTTGTAATAAAGGTAAGAATACTTGATTTCTATTGAGCTTTGAATATTAAATCATTGCCGGTCGTATGTATAAGTAGATAGTCTTGGGAATTATACTAAGTAAATGTGAATTCTTGATGATTAGGAGATTGTTTGAACTAGTGCCTTGGTTGCTAAACAATGATTGGCGAGAGTCACGGGTGATTGGTACTTTGACCCGAAGCATTCAACCTTTAAGGGCTTGGGTGGTGGTGGTTTGAACATTGCTAGAGTCCTCGATCGAATCAAGCTTAAGCTAAGGAAGTGGTTTAGTAATTGGTAAGAATTTCTATCAACAGAGGTGAGTGGACAATTCTTTTTTAACTACTATTAAATATTGAGTACAATTATATCAAGTTTACTAGATAGGCCCACTATTAGAAATTATTCTATCACGTTGAGTTGCAATGCTGGTATTTGAATAAAATCGGGTTGCATGAGTTGTTAGTGACTAGGAATGATCACTAATCATGTTTATATTTTCTGTTTTTGTGGGCATATCAAAACTATTAAGCTGTTTTACAAAAGGAAAACAAGCCCTTGAAATATGATGAGATTTTCATTCCATTTTGAAACGTTCAAGACTGTATGTATTCCATTCCCATATAAAGGCCCTACAGTGGCCACTAATGAGTTTTCCAATTTGCCTTGATAGCAATTTTTGTGATGCTTGAGTGAAATATTTCGACTATGCCATGCTTGCTGATTTTCGTGTGTGAACGTGCTGTTTTGATGTTCATTGATTTTATGAGGAAGTTGGTATATAACTCACGGCTTTTATGATCAATACATGCACATATTGCATGTTGAGCACATGATTGAAATTGGTTGCACATATTGGAAATTACATTTGATTATTTTATTGGATAAACATTACAGGTATAGGTTCTGCTACCACACCAGAGTTATGTCGTCTTTGTGCATAAAGTATTAGCTAGTTATCAATATGGTATTTGAGTATTAAAGGGGACAGAAGCTCTGACTTGATAGTTGGTGGCGTCAGGAGTCCCACGAGTAGGTACTTGTATATGGTAAATGTGAGGGCTCTCGTTCTATTTCTTAGACCTACCGAAGGATATCCTAATTGATACATTTTATTGATTGAGCATGGCATTACTATTATATTTGCTTTGAGAAAACCATGGCTTTGATTTATCAGTACATGATATTCTGGAAATTTACTATATTTGAGATTTTCCATGGTTGAATAATTTTAAACAAGCATGAGATTTATAACTCAAGCATCTCATGCTTTGTTTAAGTATAAGTTAATGCATCCATGGCAATTTTAACATAAACGAATTCCAAAAAATAAATTGCAGATACACAAATCACATTCATGGTTTTACAAATTAAAAAGTAATAATGCCATGCTCAAATGTTTAAAACATAATGGTTAGGATGTTTTTGGGTAAGTCTGTCAATAGAGTGTTGGGACTAGTGTAAAGTCTTGTCCATGGTTTGTGACTATAGCATGGATTATGGATAGTAGGTAGCATGAACTCTTAAGTCTTAGGGAGCCACCTTTACTAATAATATTGATGTGAATTTGAAAGGTGATTGCTTCCATCTATGTAAGAGATGATGCCTAGAACGAAAGCCACCTCAAGGGAAACTAGAGGGCTTGATGCCCTAAATGACATCGCGGCTAGACCGCTTGCATCCACCTCAAGGAGCCGTAAGATAGGTAGACCTTAAGCTCGAGTTGTCAAGCCTCCCAACAGTCAGAGTTCTAACGAGAGGCACATTGGTACTAGCTTTGAAGATACGAGAGGTGATTATTCTACAGTGCCTAGTGCCACCTCAGAGGAGTTGGTGGTTGCATTACGAAGGTTGACTTAGGAGTTTGTCAAGTTTAGGATTCAAGGAGTACAGTACCCTAAGGAGTTGATGGGTTCTATTTCTGAGATTGACTATTGGAACTCAATGTAATTGTCGGGATGGTAGAGTATTGTACAATCATAATATTTGAATCGTTCCATCTACCTACGTTGCCCTAAATTTAAATCTCGTTGTTGAAATAAACACTTCAAGCTTTTATAATTAGTATATATTTCGTAAGTTTCCCCGTACAAATAGTGTCTCCAATCTTTAAGGCAAACACGATCGTTGCCATCTAGATCGTTCGTAGGATAATTTTGCTCGTGCCTCTTACGTTGCCTTGAGGCATAAGTGATAACTCTACCATATTGCATCAATACGTAGCCTAATCCAATCCTTGAGCATGCAAGACTAAAATGAGGAGATAATGTATTTAAATTGCCAAATGGGTGGTCGGCCATGAAAGTGTAAAATGAGGATATAATGTAAACCATGGGTGGTTTGCCTATGAAAAATCTTAGAAATAATGGTAAAATGGGTTAGTGGGACATGTGGGTCTCCCACCATGTGAAAACCAAGGACTAAAGAAATACATATATGGAAAAAAGTATCTAAAGAAGACTACACGACTATGCATTTGTCTAAGCCAAAGAAATGAATAAATCAAGTGGGACTCGTCACTAAATAAAGATTTCATATGCATAAAATATGAGTGGCTGGCTATGTGGCTTAAAAAGGCTACAAGAAAGAAATAAAATCATGGTTTAAGTGAAAATGAGTACACAGATTCACGAAGAAAAAGAATATTAAGCATGTGAAATATAGTTAATGGGAGATAATAAGAAAAGTAAAAGTTTGTGCATATAAGGCTATTGGTGGCAATAGATAGCTGGCCACACCATTACAAAAGACTTCACTAGAATATGTGAATGGAAAAAATCAAATGAAATGTACATGGCCAATGAACATTAAATAACTAACCGTATGGAAGGATAATGGAGATTTGGCCAGGATAAATGAAGAGAAAAGAAATAAAATGTGAAATAAGGGGGTAATAAACCTTGAAGAATCTGTTTCTTTGAAACACATCCCGCGACATTCAAAACAAGGCTCTGGTGATTAATCATATGGTCCCATAAAAACATTAGCACAAAAAAGACCCATTGACCACTCTGTCTTAAATTCGAATTAGTCATACCACTACTCATAGCTCGTTTGTAATTGACCTTGTTAAAATCACTACTTTGTGAGGAGTCCCATAAGTATTAGGGGGATGGAAGCCCCAACTTGATATTTGATAATGTGGGGAGTCCCATGAGTAGGTGTTCATAAATGGTAAATGTGGGGAAAGCTTACCTTTAACACTTGCTCAAATTGGGTGTCAAATTTGTCATAGCAATTTAAACAATATAATCCTTTGAACTTAAAATTTGAAACTTCAATGGAGAAGCCTTGACCCTAACATTGATTTCCAGCATCAAGCTTTCATTTAAGTAGCTTAAATCCTCTCAAAAGTGAGTTAATAGCCTTGAGTTACAAAGGAACCAAGGGTTGCCTCAATGTCTTTTGCCCTCCATATGCATTACATTTGAAATGATCTTTGAAATGATTTTTTAGGGATCTTGGGTTCACTTAAGTATTGGAGATGAGGATAAGCTTAATTGATGTGTGAATGAGGTTTTGAAGCCTCCTTGGATGTAAAAATATTTGAAAACTTGGGAGGTTGTTAGTTGGAAGCTCTTGGGTTGTACAATGAATAAGTAAGGCCGAATGGTTGGTGTTTCAAGGGGGTAGATTCTTAAAGGTTTGTTCCCCCCTTTGTTACACATTTTATTTCTTTTCTCCTTTCCCATTCTCACCAAATCTCCACTATCTTTCCATGTGGCCAGTTATCTAATGTTCATTGGTCATGTAGATTTCATTTTATCTTTTTCATTCACAAACTTTAGTGAAGTTTTTTGTAATTGTGTTACCGGTCACCTATTGCCACCAATAGCCTTACATGCATAAACTTTTATTTTTCTTATTGTCTACCATTAGCTATATATCGCATGTTTAATATTTCTTTTCCTCATAAATCTGTGTATTCCTTTTCACTAAGACCATGGTTTTATTTATTTTTCGTAGTCTTTTTAAGTCACATGGTCAATCATCAATATTTCATGCATGTAGAATCATTACTTAGTGGTAGGTCTCACTTGATTTATTCATTTCTTTGGTTTAGACAAATGCATGGTCATGTAGTCCTCTTTACATGCTTTTTCCCATGCATTCA